AAAATTCTTGATTGTTTTGTAAAAAAATGCTTTTACTGCGAATATTTTGAAACATAAAATTTTCACTCAAAATTTTCACAATCAAAATTTAAGGTACTCTCCCAAAAAATCCGAAAGGACTCACTCTACAGAGCATAGCTCGCTAGTACTCACTCTACGGGGCAAGGCTGGCTAGTACTTCAAATCACTGAAGCTGATGTTAGATACAATATTAAACCAACAATAATATTACTAGTACTAGTAACTACGATTTGTTTGGATACTCCTACAACTTGAGCTTGAGCTCAAGTTGTACTTGAGCATTACAGTCTACACTATCGTAGTGCTGTCATTGATATCACTGTAGTACTGGTAGACCTAAATCCAGCTCTGGGATTGAGAATGATCAGAATTTTCAAATATTATGCACTTTTTCTCACCTCTCACATTTTCTTGAAGTGTTTTTTTGTTTTTCTGTTTTTCTGTTTTTCCCATTTCTCTTAAACCCTTCATTGTGTGCGGTTCAGTTGCAGGTTTCCATGAACCCAATAAAATCCTAAAATCCTTCTTCAATCAAATTATTAAAAGTCAAATCAATGATTTCAATTTTAAAAACTCCAAAGCCTTTTGGAAAAGTTCAAATCTTTGCATGTCTTCATGAGCTTGACAATTTTTGAGTCTATTTTTCAAAGCTCTAAAGATCACGAAAAGCTTTGATTCTTTGAACCCATTTTATCCCTTTTCCCTTTTGCAAAATCCCTTGACAGGTTTGTTTTTCTAGTGAGATTCGCCCTTGGAAATTTGACGTTTCTCCCATCAAATTTTGGCGTTTATTTCGAGTTCTCGTCAAAGAAACTGAAAAATGTGACTGAATTCATTAGGATTCCCAAAAGATCTTCCCCGTTCCTTTAAAGATAAAATTAGAGACTAAATGAGACTTCAATTTCAACTTACTTAAAGACTTAGAGACTTCAAAACTAAATGAAAGTCGAGTTTGGAGAAAAATGAAGTCATGTTTCAAGTTGAATAGAGTTGAAATCAAATTCTTTCTATTAATAGGCGAAGTCTTTTTGATTCAATACTTACAAAAGCTTTTTTTTTTCAAGCTCGCTTTGTTTGTTGTTCAAAGTTTTTTTGGATCTGTCATCGCATTCAGGTGTTCCTATTTGCGCAGATCACAACCTGCTTCCACATTTCTCGATCCCCTGCTATTGTCATCCAGTGTTTCCTATCCTGGTTGTTCCTGGTTCGAAGTCTTCGACTTACTTGTGCTGGTTGCACTCTAGCCATCCTTTCTCTGACCATCTCTGCCACTCTTGTGCTCCACCTCGTTGCTGGTCTTCCGATGAGCCTCTTCTGGTCTCGTGGTAGCCACTCTGTGATCCGTATTGTCCATCTGTCGTCTGTTCTTCTGGCCGGCCCATCTGAGTTTTTTTCTCTCGAACACTTCCACTAGATCTCTGAGTCCCGAGAGCTGGCGCATATCCGTACTTCTTAGGTCTTGGTCGAGCTGCGTCTTCCTACTGTACCCGAGAAGATTCCTTTCAAGGGCTCGATGCGTCGTTCCCAGGGCTCGCTCAGTGGTCTGTGTCGTGGTCCAGGTCTCTGTCCCGTAGCAGAGTACCGAAGAGGATTTTATCAGTTGATTATTGAACTTTTATTCTCAGCACAATGATTTTCGAGCTTGAAACTCTGAATTTAAAATAGTTCTGTGAAAAAGTCGTTTTGAAATGTAAAACTTGAACGATTACATCATTGATCCAAATACTTACTTCTTCTTAGGTCTTGGTCGTCTTCCTATTTTAACAAACTTCCTATTAAAAGTTTTAACTGCAAAAAACGCGAACCTTCTTCCAAATTCGTTTTTGTAATTCAAAAGTTTTAAAATTGATCAAAATTTGGAGAGTTATTTGCGTCGACCAACAAAAAACAGTTATTAATTTACTTTCAAATCACATTTTTTTGTTTGCTATTTGAGAAATCTATGACTTAAAGGTGATCATGAAAAAATCATGTTTCAAATTTAGTCAAAAACACCTTTCAAAAGCAAAAGCAAACAACAAAAACTTCAAAATGAAGAAATTTCGTTTTTCGTTTTGTTCTATTTGTTTTGTTGATTATTTTTAGTTTTTTTTTTCTACTGCTTATCTTATTTCAATCATTGTTTAATCAAGTTTTAATGTTTAATCTTTTCCCCTACAATCGTGTAGTCTTCTTTAAATTGCTGTCTTGCTGTCTTGTCTTGTCTTGCTATTGCTTTAAAAACAAGAAACCAAGCAAAGCCATCTCTTGATATCATTTTCTTTCGTTTCAAATTGAGTGTAATCAAAATCTACGTTTTTTTTATAGCCTGAGCTTGTTTTAAAAAGATTATTTTATTCTTAAAGATGCGAATGGACAAACTATTGATTTTCACAGTTTTTCCTACCGTAATGCCTATAATAGTAGCGCCTTTTCCCGTACAATCGTGTAGTCCAAACACAGAATTTTGTGACGCTCGATTCTCCGCGCTGTTTCGACAAAAAAATGTGCATTTATATATCAAAAGATAGCGCTTAAAGGAAAGAATTTTTGGTATTAAAAGTGTAAAACTTTTGAAGCATAGAACTGATTTTAAATTATCTTTGAGATTTCATTCATTTAAACAGCACTTTAAAAGCAGCACTTTAACAGCAGCACTTTAAAAGCAGCACTTTAACAGCAGCACTTTAACAGCAGCACTTTAACAGCACTTTTTCCGTGTTAAAACAAATTTCTTCCATTTAATTTGTCCACAGTAATTTGAATTGATTAAAAACAGAAAAATTCCTTCAAAATTGCTTTGAAATGGATTTTTTTACAACTTTCATCATCATTATAATGTCATTATTACAGTGGATTTGGGTTTTTTTACTTTTCGAGTGTGAGATTTCGGTTTCATCTATTTCATGGCACTAATCTACCTCCTTTCTCCTCTTTTTTTTCGCCTAAAATTAAGCATAAATTAGCTTGAGATTCAATTTTTTTCTTCGCTCTAATCGCTGTCTCCAAGCTTACACAAAAAAGGGAAAACAAAAAAAAACGAAAAAAGAAACGAAAAAATGTCCAGAGTCTCTGAAAAAACCCCCGCAAACACATCGATTTTCGTTTGACCAAAATTGGACCCAATTTTCCCCGTGTTGGTTCTTTGGTTTTGAAAGAAATTTATTGCTTAAAATTTGTGCATCATAAAATTTGAACAATCGCGTTTTTCCGAAGCATTTCGATCTTTGAATTTAAAAATCGACTCATTTGAAATCGCTTGTTGCTTTATTCTTCTATGTAGCGTTTCAAAAGATTTTTAGCGTATACTTTAGATTTTTTTCGCGTTTTTTTTCTCTAGTATTCACTAGTAAATCTTTATCCAAAATATTACAGTCAGCCAGTTACATTTGATACGCGCCCCGCCCCTTTTGCCATTGACAATCGAACTTTGAGCCCAAATATTTTGGTGTTCGGCTGTTCAATTTAAATAGTTTTTATACCAATCAATAGAGAAAGACTTGACGCATCCAATGATACCAAGAATATTCAAATCGAACAGCCCAACACCAAGGAATTTGAGTTCAAAGTTAGATTGCCAATAGGAAAAGGGACTGGGTCCAAGTCTCCGCTAACCAGGCTGATATCGAAGCTTTTTGTTGGATTGGATCGGATTAGTGTCCAATTATTCAGTGTTTCGGATCAAATCGGGACGATTCAATGGAGGCAGATAGATCTGATAATCAAATACCAATCAAATGTCCCACAATTCAACCGCTTCGCTCTAGTTGGTTACACAAGTTCGAGTTGGCACATTTTGAAACTAGCTTTTCTCACATCTGCAATCTTATCGATTTTCTTGAGTGTTTATTGTTAACGAAAAGATCCAACAGGTTACCAGTGAATTGATTTCAAGGTATAACAATTTGAACAAAGGCCAACGAAAATGCGGTCCAATTTTCTCCAAAATTGAAACATTTTCTTCATAAAAGTTGCATCTTTAATAAAAAAAAATGACTAAATGCATATCAAGTAGTAACAGTTGATTTAAAATTAAAAAATTAATCAGATAGTGATGAAGATTTCCGAGTGAAAATTATGAAAACAGCCGAAAACAGCCGAAAAATCGAACTAAAAATGCCTAAAGTTTCATTTTAATGGGGGTGGGACAAATGCGGCCTTTTTTTGCGCACCTGGACATTTGCGCACCTTTTTTTTTTTGCTGGAAAAGGCCTTAGGAAAGGTCGTAGGGCTTCAAAAATGTATTCATAGAAGGGAATCGTATGCGTAGATTGAGAATTTTGATAAATCAGACCTCGCTGACACGTCAAATTTGGACTAAAAGGCAAAAACTACGCAACTTAACGCTTTTCCGCAGTCTTTGCCTTTTAGCCCAAATTTGACGTGTCAGCGAGATCTGATTTGTCGAAATTCGGAATCTACGCATACGATTCCCTTATATGGAAATATTTTCGAAGCTCTACGGCCTTTCCGAAGGCCTTTTCCAGCAAAAAAAAGGTCGCATTTGTCCAGGTGCGCAAAAAAAAAGTCGCATTTGTCTCACCCCCATTTTAATTCGTAAACGGAGGTCCGAAATCGATTTAAAGATAAATTTAGTTCGTAAATGGACGCAACATAAATATTTTCAAATCAAAAGTACTCTAAAGGCTCTGGGCTCCCAATAAAGTTTTTTTTTAAATCCATTGAAAGAGTTAAAACAAGCTCGCTGTTTTTTCAAAACTGGATTCATTTCCTTAGTCGTTGTGCCGATAAAAGTATCTCGTTTTCTTGATTTCTATCGAAATTGAAACATTCTTTTTGCACAGCTTAAACAGTTTTACTTTTAACTTGCTGAAAGCCATTTCAGTGTACTGGATGGGACTACATTTTTCGATCGATAATTGAATGAAATTGAATGATTGCAGCTTTACTTGATGTGTTTTTTTTGCGTTAAAATCCTTTTTCTACACAGTTTATTCACTTTTTTTACGTCTTTTTCTAAACAAATCAATTTCAGTGTAATGGAAAACGATAGTTCCGGGAGTAGAATCTCCCCGTCTTCTTCAACAATCTCTTGGTACGATATTCCACTTTCGGGCGAAGATGTCCTTGCCGGTCTTTCCCTTATCATTCTCGGCATTTTCTTTATGATTCTCTATTTTGTCGTCGCGCGTGCCATGTTCAGACATGATCGGGTGAGTTTTTGGAAAGAAAAATTCGACTAAACAATGTAGAAAGCTAAATGCAATCCAGCGTTGATACTATTTAACTGAGTTCCGCTTAAAAAGCTGCAAATGAGACGAGCTTTACTGAGCAATGCAGAGAAGTTGACTATATCCAACTTAACTGATCAAAAGCTGAAAGAAATTTGAAAGAGACGATAAAAAAGAATAGCAATATTCGAATCTTTCGGAAAATAATCGTTTTGAGATGTATTTCTTTTTCATTTTCTTGCTTCCTTTCTCTTCCCCCTTGTATTCCCTCTTTCTTCTCCGGCATTCGGCCGGCTAGCTCAGTGGTTAGATCATACGCTCAGTGGCTCAGTGGCTCAGTGGCTCAGGTGGCTCAGCGAGGAGGGTTCAATTCCCTCTCCGGAAATCTTTCTTTGCCATTCCTTTATTTTACTACTGAAATTCCAAACTCTTTTCCAGGAAGTGATCGGTTTTCGTTTCCTTTTCTCGACCGCCATCTCCGATATGCTCCTTTTGGTGAATTACTCGATTTGGCCAGGGATCACGATTCTGGTCAAATCCGAAATAATCACCCCGGCGATGCGGCATTGGTTTCAGGTAATGAAGAAATATCGATAGAATAAATTCACAAGTGACTTGAGACGGAAAAAAAAAGCCGTGCTTCATTTTTAGTATCTCCAGTTACAGGTTTAATTTAGTTGCTGGTGAAAGGGTGAAAGAGATTCAATCTAGAAATTTTATGGGAATCTCTAAAAGCCAATTTTTGATGCCAATGGGAAGTTTTTAAACTTCAAGTTAAAACTGACATTTCAGAATTGATCTTTCATTTCACTTTTCACTGACATTTCACAATTAACTTGAGCTAAAAAAGCGTGTTTCAACTTTAGGGATAATTTGGTTTAAAGCTTTAGTTTAGTCGCATAACCTCTAGTAACATTGTGCAAAACCAGGGAAATTTCACAAAAGGTTATTCATTCAAAATCTTTTCAAAACTCAAAAGTACGCCATGATCGACTGGTTAAGAGCCCTTTATCTTAGTCGGGAGGTCAAGGGTTCAATCCCGGCTAGATTATTGATTCCTGTTCCGCACAATTATGGAAACTCGGTTTTTGGCTGTAAATCACCAACCAATCATCCGATTCTCCTAATTTCATATTTATATGAAATTTCAAGTCAATTTCTGCGCTCAATTTTAATTTTCACTTCAGAAACACAGTGTTACGCTTTTTTATAGTACTTCGAAGTTCAGAGGTGCCAACGTCTCGGCAGAATCATCGCTTTCGATAGTTTTCAATCAAGAATTGCCTACAAATCAACCAATTCTTTTCGTTTCTTTTCCACTCAATTAAATTTAGACAAATATCACAAAATAAATGCATAAACTTTGCAAGACAGCAAATCAGAAATGATTTGGGGAGTTACCATCGCTGCTCTGCTCAGCTTTCAGAGAATTCAACTATTGCCTCTCAAAATTTTGAAATTATTGAAAATCTTCTGATATGAAATGCTTCAGATAAGCCTATTTCTTAATAAAAAACAAAAAATGAGTAAATCCGAAAGGGGAAATCCTTCAAAATGTGTGCAAATCCTGTCAAACAACGATTCTGCCGAGAGGTTGGCACTTCTGAACTTCGAAGTACTATAAAAAAGCGTAATACTGTGTTTGTAAGGTGAAAATTGAAATTGAGAGCAGAAATCAAGTTGAAATTTCATATAAATATGAAATTAGGGGATTTGAGTGATTGGGAGCTGATTTACAGTCGAATAATTGTATTTTTTTGGTTTTGGTTTCCTTTGGTTTCCTTTGGTTTGCTTGCTTTTTGAGAGGCAATAGTTGAATTCTCTGAAAGCTGAGCAGAGCAGAGCAGCGATGGTAACTCCCCAAATCATTTCTGATTTGCTGTCTTGCAAAGTTTATGCATTTATTTTGTAATATTTGTCTAAATTTACTGAGAAGTGGAAAAAAAACTAAAAGAATTAATTGATATGTGGGCAATTCTTGATTGAAAACTATCGAAAGCGATGTTTCTGTCGAGAAGTTGGCACTTCTGAACTTCTCAACTTCGAAGAACGATAAAAAAAAGCGTACCACTTTGTTTTTGAAGTGAAAATTGAAATTGAGCGCAGAAATCAAGTTGAAATTTCATATAAATATGAAATTAGGGGAATCGGATGATTGGTTGTTGATTTACAGTCAAAAAAAGCGAGTTTCGATAATTGTGTGCAATCCTGTACATGGGTTTTCTAATTTAAATTGAATTTTCCTAAGTCGAATAAAGGAAATAGATTCGAAAATCTCATTCAAAATGTAAAAAGCAATGCAATTCATAGAAATTTGCAGATGTACATGGATTGGGTGTGGTTCTCGATGTGTTATCACTATATGATTGTCGCGTGGTCCCGTTTCGCAGCCATTCGCTCGCCGCTTTCATTTCGGTAATGGATCATAGAATTTGTAGAATTCAACGCAAACTTTTCAATTTTTTGCAATTTTAAAACCAAATCTCTGTTACAAAAACAATTTAAGCATTCAATTTTCCTTTCTTTTCCTTTCAGCAGTCAATCAAGACGTGCCTCTTATCTGCTCTGTGGTGCCTGTTATTTCATTGCGTTAATACAGGTACGCAAATCGAAATCGAATTGTAGGCAAGCTGTAGGCAAACTGTAGGCAAATTGTAGCCAAATTGTAGGCAAACTATTGTCAACTCGAAAAAACGATTACAATAACAGATTACATTTGTATAACTCAGTTAAAGCTTAAAGAGACTCAAGTAGAAAAATCAAAGTTTCAACCTAGTCGACTCTGAAGTTATAGTCTTAATTCCAATCAATCATAGCCGAAAATCTTTTAGAATACACAGTTTTAACGTGTTTCCAAAAGAGCTAGTGTGTTTTTGTTTTTAAGATTGTTAAAAGCTTAAAAGCCAGAGGTGATCGCGAATTATAGCGACAACTTTTTGAAAAACCATCTGCAAAATGTTTAACTTATTTCAAAAGTGCCAAGTCTTATATAGAGAATTGTAGCCCTTAATCTTGGCTACATTTATCTACAAAAAGCTTCCCAATTCGACTTCTACAACTCATTTAACAAGCGCTTGAACGAGCGCTAATCGAGATCTCCCGGCGAAAAGTCATTTGGCCGCTTTTCTCTATTAAAAATTGTTAAGAAAAGCTTTTCATTATTTCAAAAATAGCGTTTAACATCACATAATAACATTAAAAATCACATTTAACTGTTTTGGCTGAACTTGTATGGCAAAAATTTAAGTTGAGCTTCTTTTGGAGGAGCAGGGAAAAAGGTGATAATTGAGTATTTTCGATATTCAATTCTCGTTATATCTAGCCCTTGAATTTGTTGAAAACTATTTTTTTTGGCCCAAAACTAGCACAAATCTCTGAAAAAGCGTTTCTGAATGAAATTTTTAATGTAGAAAATCGTGAGAAATGGTAAATCGTCAGCTCGTCGACTAGCGCTCATTCAAGCGCTTGTTAAATGAGTTGTAGAAGTCTAATCGGAAAGTTTTTGGTAGATAAATGTAGCCACGATTAAGGGCTACAATTCTCTTTATAACACTTGCCACTTTTTAAATAAAATAGGCATTTGCCAGCTACTTTTCGTTGTCGTACTTTACTTTGCGTATACTTTGCGGTGACTCTGTACCAAAAATTCAAGTTCCAATCTAGTGATGAAGTGTTTAATTGAAAACGTAATATTCCTTTAGTATAGTAGTAATATTCCTTACGCAATATTCCTTTGTTAACAACCAAAATTCAGGTTCTATGCACTCATTTCCAACCTTGGTACGTCACTTTCTACTATGAGCCGTCAGCCTATGGAATGCTGTCAGAGGTGAGAGGCTTTAGACTTTGACTTTGTGCTCAAAAATGAAAACGCACACGTTCTGGTGCAGAGCAGGTGCAGTGTTTACAAGATGATCGAAAATGGACTACTGAAAGAGCTTAAAAGAGATTAAACAGCTCAAAATACTTTCCAAGCTACTGGGGAATTGATTTTTTTTACATATTTATGCATTATTGACAAATGAAATTTTAGAATCAAAATTTCTTTTACCAAATCTAATCCGTGAAACTTTTAGGACTTCAACAAATACATGACTGAGGGACAATCGATCATGTTCCTCTCATTTCACATTCTGATGGTCATCATTCCTTTCTATTTTTATGTGTAGGTTTTAAATGATTACAAAAGGCTTTGAAGATTGAAGAGGATTTAAAATTTCCTCAAAAAAAATACCTGCATTCCAGCAGAGCCATCATTTTATTGCTGCAGCATCGTCAGAACTCGATGAACGGTCAGAGTGGACTCGATTCGAGTGTTGAGAGCAGGTTTGTGGAAATTTTAGGCTTAAAGGAGATGAAAATAAGTCTAAAATAAGTCTAATATATTTATCTTTTTACAAAACGATTTTCTTTTCCTTAAAATTCTTTCTAGATTGATCATCCCGTGCATTTGCAACACATTCGTTTTCATTGTTGGCCAGGTTGTGATCACGATTGGAACGGGTGAGGGAAGATGGGCAACGTACATGGTGAGCGGATACCGTAAATACTGTAATAGTACCCCACCCCCATAATGACGGTGCGGAGTGTTGCGTAGTCTAGCTTTGAACGAGTTTTTCTCGACACTGGTTTATGCTACAATGCGCGCTTAGGTATCAAAAAATAGCCCTCAATTTCAGCTATTTTTTGATATCAAACACGCATTTTTTGAAAGTTGCAACAAAATAGAGTCGAAGAGCTTCCTAAAAGTGGACGTCCGCCAAAAATTGATCACACGAGACTCAAGAAAATCGGTACAAGTTGAGCTTCTAAAAAATCTATACAGAATGTGGATTCTGTCGACTTTGGATTCAATTCTATTGCCTGGTCGGATTCTGTTAGATCTAAGTAATAATATATACTGTAAATACTGTAATAGTACCCCACCACCATAATGACGGTGCGGAATGTTGCGTAGTCTAGCTTTGAACGAGTTTTTTCTCGACACTGGTTTATGCTACAATGCGCGCTTAGGTATCAAAAAATAGCCCTCAATTTCAGCTATTTTTTCATACCAAAGACGCATTTTTTGAAAGTACGGGCGCTTTGAAAAAAATGAAATACTAAAAAACTTTTGCGACTACGCGACTGTACGAGGGGGGGGGGGTACTATTACAGTATTTACGGTAGGCTTCAAGGCTAATAGGGAAATATTGGGTTTAGGAAAAGAAAATCATCTTTTAGCTAGATAGGATTTATCGATTAGGTCACTGATCACAAAATAGACCCCGAAGAACTTAAGATTTGCTTTTGTAACTTTTGTAAACTAAAAAGGGTGCCTCACAATTATGAAAAAATATCAACAAAAGTCTATCAACCTTATTTTGATTCAAAACAACTGTAAAAAGATTGAAAAAAGATTTAGAGTTCAAAATGGCCAACATTAGCATTCATACATTTTCTTAAGCGCTTTGGGGAAATCATCAATAGCTTTTTCAATGGTGCTGATAGAGATTTCGTTCCATGCCTTGATTAAGTCTCGTTTCAAGAATTCAATTCATTTGTGGGCTTTAGCAAATGCTCTGCTTTCAAAAATCGACCATATTGAGTAATCTAAGGGAGTGAGATCGCGCGAGTTTGATGGCCATTCGCCTGGGCGCGAACGATTCTGTCTCTTTTCGAAAAACATTCTGTCTCTTTTCCTGCAATATTCGAGATATCTCTGCGAGTGTTTTTCCTTGTTGATGAAGAGTAATAATGGCTGGACGTAGCTCTTTCTTAGAATACCTTAATCTAGACTGAATACCGAATACCAGCTGATCTAGACTCAATACCCCATCTAGACTAAATACCGTAACCCGGCTAATGAAGACTGAAGACCCTATTCTAAACTGAATACCTGAATCTAGACTAAATCCCGTAATCCAGCTAATGCAGACTGATACCAAAAAAGAAACCATCAAATCATCGAATTATTAAGAAGAAAAGCAAAAAAGAAAGACAAAAAGCAGTTAAACGTAGTAAAATGCGCATCAGCATAATTGTGAGACACGATTTAAATATACTCCACAAATTCTAAAAAATCAATCGAAGATTTTCTAAAACAATGATTAATTAAAGTCTCCTAAAAGGTTTTAGATAAAATTGCAACTCGAATTTTCAAATGAAATCTCCTAGGTGCTTCTTTTGTTCTCCGCAAATTCCGCGGTGAATCCAGTGCTGCTATTGCTTTTCTCGCCGACAATCAGGTAGGAAAAAAGTTTTCGATTCAAATAAAACCTTTAAATATTAGCTGACAATGAGATTTTGAATTAATCTTTAATTTAAAAGCTCAAAAGATCAAAAGATAGGAGAAAAGGCAATGGATTAAAGTGTATATGTCGTAGACGATTATGAATTTCAGTCGATTATGAATGAGCGGGTCCGGACGCGTCCAACCATCAAGTGTTTGGTATCATTCAACGCAGAATCATTAATAATTATGTTAAATTTTTTAAATTAGAAAGATTTGATAAAAAGAAAAAAATTAGAGCAAAAAAACTGTTTGTTCAAGAGGAAACTTTGAGGCGCCATAATTTGTTTTCTTTTTATCCAATCTTTCTAATTTTAAAAAATTTAACATAATTATTAATGATTCTGCGTTGAATGATACCAAAAACTTGATGGTTGGACGCTCCTAGGCCCACTCATTCATAATTCATCATCGGCTACGGTTTTGATCCCACCGATTTTGAATGAAACGTTGTAGCGCCGACAATTTTTAACCTAAACTCACAAATTTGGTACCAATCGACGCAGAATTTAATTCGCTACAGGATGATATAATATTGTCCTCATACATTAAAGGGTTGCTCTACTAGAAAGATTTATCAAAAAATTTCATTCATAATCGGCTACGACATATAGTAATCATTAAACTTGATCATTAAAGCCAATAGTAATCATTAAACTTGAAACATGCAATGTTAAATCGAGTTTTGCATCATTTACCCCGCTAAAAATCAACTTATTTGACTCGATTTTTATATAAAAACAGTGATTTTAAAGTAGATTCAGTTATTTTGTCGTAAATCTGAACAATTTCAACAATGCTCTCTCATTTCAGGAGAAAAGTTATGGAGCAACTTCACGGCTCACATCTCTCGAAACTCCGCAAATACACACCAGCACCGCTTTTGAGGTAAACTAATTGAAAAGTTTTTAGAAATCTTTTTGAATCATTAAATAATGAAAAACAATGAAAAGTTAAATAAATTTATTGTTCTAGACGCATCGTTTTCTCTCGTTCACTTTGAAACGTGAATTCTTTCGCTAAAGAATGATATGATGATGATATTTGGTATTATGTTAAGCTCTTATAGATAAAAAGCTTTAGATCTTGATTTTATATTTAGCAGAAATCTTTTTTAAAAAGAATCTAGTAAAATAGTTAAAGTTAAAGTTTATTTATATTTTTAGGAAACAGGGTTCAGCTCGACATTTGTTAAGTTTAGCGCTGACTATTATATTTCATTTACTTTGAAACTTGAGCATTTTTGATCAATTGACAGTTTAGCATTGATAGTTAGCTGTGCGGTAAAAGATATAAGTACAGTCGACTCTCTCTCTATAACGGAATTGAAGGGACTAAAAATATAACTAAAATTCTTCCGTTATATATAGCTTAGGGTCGGGCGGGACCAAAGTTCCATTCCATTATATAGAGTTTTCCGGTATATATGTCGTAGCCGTTTACGAAATTCAGCCGTTAACGGATGAAATTTTTCGCTAACCGCTAACGAATGATTCGTTGAATGAATTTGATTAGGAACCAAATTTAGAGAGATAAGGAAGCAAATCTAGAGAGGTAAGGAACCAAATTTAGAGATTGAGGCTGAATTTCGTGAATGGCTACGACGTATAGAATTCCGTTATGGAGAGAGTTTTTAAAGGCAATCTATTGGGTTGATGGAAAAGTCCTTTCCTATCTTTTGGGAGAGTACCTTAAATTTGTCGAATTTTGACGTTTTATAGCTCATCCTAAAGCTGAATTCAAGACGGATCGATTGGTAAAAACCGTTTTGAGATATCTCTTTTCTAAAAGTTTTTACAGCTATTTTAGTAAAGGCAGAGCCAAAAAATGGCTGTTTTCACGTTTCGTTAGTTTTCCGTGCAGAAACCTAGGCTAAAAACATGTGTTTCGTGATCAGCGTCAAAAATAACCCCTAGACACGCATTTTCAGAATCATAGCAAAAAATTTTTGAAAAATATTGTCACCGGTGGAAGTCGAACCAGCGACCCTCAGATCAATAGCCTTTCCGCCGCTTTTCGCGATTTTCCTGCGTTTTTCTCGTTTCAGTAAGGAGTAAGGAGCCGGAATCAACCCAGGAAAATCGCCTGGTGTCTCTACGTGAATGTGAAGTGTGAAAACTAACGAAACGTGAAAACAGTCATTTTTTGGCCCTGCCGCCCTTTACTAAAATAACTGTAAAAACTTTTAGAAGAGAGATATCTCAAAACGGTTTTTACCAATCGATCCGTCTTGAATTCAGCTTTAGGATGAGCTATAAAACATCAAAATTCGACAAATTTAAGGTACTCTCCCAAAAAATCGGAAAGGACTTTTCCATCAACCCAATATATAGAAGAAATCCGTTAAAAAATTCTCGATTATTTTGTAAAAAAATGCTTTTACTGCGAATATTTTGAAACATAAAATTTTCACTCAAAATTTTCACAATCATTACTTTGATTTGAGGCGTAATCGTTTTTGATTAATGGGGAACTATTGTAGATCCGGTTTTGTGATAATTTTAGGATTAAGAAAGCTAATAAAAACCTAATAAACCTAATAAATCTAAGAAACCTAATAAAACTAACAATAGAAAGAGGTTTCAACATTTTTAACTGCAGTAAACACATGTAGTTGTATTAAACGTAGTCCTTATTACGTTGTGCCGTTCAATTTGAAACTCGATCATTTAAGGGGCATTTTAAGGAATTTAGAAAAAGTAATTTAATTAGGATTTAGATGCTTCAACGTTTTTTAATCTGAATCAAACAATGGGCTTTTGATTAATGGGGAACTATTGTAGATCCGGTTTTGCGATTAACTGAAAGTTTAACATTTAAGGTTTTTGCTTCCTTCATTTTAAAACTCTATTCGTATCTAAAATTCAACTTTCGAAATAGAAATTTTATTGTTTATGGAGGTTTAATGTGAAAATGGCGCTTTAAATTCAGATTCTCGGCTTTCGATTGAGTTCAGCACACAGAACTATACCTAATTCACTTTAAAACTTGATCTTTTAAATATAAGAAATCTTTTAAAAAAGAATACCGTATTCTCTCTAATAGTAGTGCACCCCGGCAAGCCGAGTTGATGACTATTTACGGTTTCCAAGCTTTTGCAGAAGCTCAACACTCAAATCCCCCACAAGACCTCATCGTCAGCTACATTTTTCGACCGCACATCGATAGGTTCTGTTAAGCGGTTCTCGAGATTTCGAGGAATTTAGGCGACTTCAAAAATTTTGTATTCTTCAAATGATAAAATTCGTTGCAACTTCTCTAAAGTTTTGCAATTTCAATTTTAAAAACACTTTTCATCTTTGAAACAACTTTAAAAGCACGATTTCAATTTCAGTTGAATTGAGGTGAATTTCCATCAATTACCATATTAGATTTTCCACTATTAGATTTTCTATTAAGTAACGATAGTTTTCCTATAAAATCTTTAAGAAAAATCAACAATATCATACTAATCTAATAGATCTAATCTTTTCCCTAAAACCCACACGTGTTTAAAGCCGAGTTGATGACTATTTTACGGTTTCGAAGTTTCCGCAAGAGCTCAACACTCAAATGCCCCACAAGACCTCATCGTCAGCTACATTTTCCGACCCCACATCGATAGGTTCTGATAAGCGTTTCTCGAGATTTCGAGCAATTTAGGCGACGCTCAGGGTGCACTACTATTAGAGAAGATACGGTATATAAAAGAGATAAGAAATCGTAAATAAAGATCAAATATAAGTTTAGTAAGAATATTCAGTCAAGTTTTAAATGTGAATTTCTAGAGAAACGCCTCGTTCTCTCGCCGAGATGGGTGGTCGTCGTGAGGATTCCCTTCAGCCGAGCTCTGAATCCGATATTCGTGGGCCAGCCTCGTGTTAGAAAAACAAATTTGGAACTTTTGAGCTTTTCACATTGTATTTTAGTACTCCTTTGTTTCCTTTTTTTTTCAAACGGGTTTCCTCATTGCATTTACGGTCTCTTTTCTCTCTTTTTTTCACTCTTTTGTCGATCTCTTCCCCCCAAAAACAAAAATTTGCTCAAACAACTTTTTTTTTTGATAGATCTGATATAAAGTTTTGAAAGTAAATTACACAAAAATATTGATAGCTGCATGAAATTCTAGTTTTTTTTAAAAGTAATGGTTTCAAGTTCGATTGAAAATCTGTTCTAATCGACAAAAATAGTTTGTCATACTGAAATTTTTTAAATTTAGACTTTCTCATAACAAGTTACATCTTTTTAATCATATTTTGATAGTTTTCAAGTTCTAAAAAATCGAAATTTATAAGTAAATCTTCATAGATGGAAGTACTTTCAAAAGAATGAGTTTCAAGTTAGAGAGGAAAGAGAGAGAGCAGAAGCTCTAAAGATGATTGGTAAGCACCAATCCAAAGATGATTAGTGCTTACCAATCATCTTTGAAGCCTACTTTCTGAACTTTTAACTACTTTGTATAAAATCGATCATATAAGCTAAAGTAAAGCTCAAATTTCATTTTTCAATGAGTTGACAATGAGTTTTTAACGCATTCACAAGTTGTAACTTGTTATGAGAAAGTCTAAACTTAAAAATTTCAATATGACAAACTGTTTGTGTGCCGGCCATCACTGACTGGCTAACTAGGGAACTGTTTCAACTTATCACCAATTTTCGAAACCGGACCTGGCTACGAAACGCCGCGGTCGAATTCAAAGAAACATATTTTTTATTTTTTCTTAGTAGAGGCTAGTTTTTGAGAAAAGTTTATGTGTTTCGGCTAATTTCGGCAAATTGTCACATTGTTTCAATTCTGGAACATTTTATTTGGGCAATTTCTTCCTGAATCACTTAAAAAACCCGATTTTTGCAGATATTCATTGGAAAATTTGAAAGAAAACTTTTTTTTTAAGGGAGCGTCAGGCGGGGAAGGATGGAAGAGCGGCGGTAGCGTAGGGGTTAGTGCACTAGTCTACGAAACTGTGCCACTTTTCCTTGCGGGTTCAATTCCGCTCCCAGCCAGACTTTTTGCTAAATGCATTTTTTTAAAGCCAATTTTGTCTTGGCCGCCATTTCGGACGACAGCTATCTATGTTAGACTTGAAAATTCGTAACTGGCATTCTGGGATAGGGAATTTGAATCCGTTATTAGTTTTTGAGCAACTTTAAGTCAATACGTTACAATACAGTCCAAGAGCCAATATTTCCAAGCCAATACGGTCATCACAAAACTCTAAAAACTTGGGTAATTAAACCAAATTTGAGAAAAAAGCAAAATCGAATTTAGGTCTGGTCCTTTAGGCCGTGTGCCAGAAGCCGCACGATTACGTGAACAAATTTTCATGCTTTTGTAATCGCGCGCTTGGGTCCTGGATTTGGAGTCGAACTTGGGTAATTAAGCCGAATGAAATATCCAAAAATAGAGCAGTTTTCGCTAAAAACCAAGTACGGATTCGATTCGACGACCCCGAAAACCCCCTGATGCAAATTCTCAACCGAAATCGCCTCAAAAAGGGGCTAAATCGACGTACGGCTCACCGGTGAGCCGTATCGTTGAAATTCTCGAAATCAAATGTTTCATTGCTTAGCAATTACCGAAATTTCATTCAAAAAGTTTGCCATTGGCTTTCTGTGGTCTGACATCGAGAATTGCCTGGCCATTGGGCGGCAGATCTCCCCGAGGGTCCTGTCATTTTTTTTAGGGAATCACTTTTGACAACTTTTTACCTTGTATTGCTCAAATTTCGTAGATTCAGATCGATTATTTCACCTCAAGAATGCCCGAATTCTCATCGATTCTCGAGGAAGCGGCTCGGCATGAAGAGGTTTTCTTCATTTTTTATTAGAAAGCAATCGACAGTTTAAAGGTTTCACTAAAATTGTTTAATTGTTATTAAATTGTGATTTTCTTCTTTTTTTCAAACACTAGATTTCTTTAAGAAGTCTAGTTTCTTTTTATTTAATTCTTTAATTTTTCAGAACATGGATGGTCATCGTCGAGCCGAGATCCGAGCGTTGGATTTCGATGAAACAATTATTGTGAGGGTGGGTTACAAACCTTACAGAATATAAAGCTAGATTATGGAAAATAGCAACGTTTAAAGAGAATTTTATTTGAGTCATTGATTTATCTTATTTGCAGTAAAACAAAGCCAAACAATGCCTTTTAAAGAAAGATTTTCAAAGAGGTTTTCAAGATTTTCTTATCGACTGAAATCATTTTCCTGAATTTTGATTGATCATGCACGATGACAGAATTCAAATCCATAAACTCCAACAAGTTCTGCCTACTTTAAAACAGTTTAATAAGGTTTAATAAGGAAAAAAAAATGATCGCATGCTATATAAAATTTGAAATATGCGAACTTTTTCAGCCTAAACCAATCGATCCACGACAGAAAGGAGTTGTAAAGAAGAAAAGTGGTAAAAATTTCTTTGAAACTCTTCATTCAAATTGTTTTAGTTGAGAAGAAATCAGCTCCACCTCAACAAAAGAAAGCAAAACCCAGCGAGAAGGAGTCGATCAAGTTGGGCGCAAAGTTTAGAAGGTAAAAAAGGATTTCAATCCGGGCAACGAATGGGAAAGATGTAGAAAAAGCAATGAAATCATTGAAGGTCTATTATATTCTTTGATTGATGTCAATTTCTGGCAACTTTTCATAGACTAACAGAAGTCATAGGCTAACAAGAATGCTAACAAGAATGCTAACAAGAATGCTAACAAGAATTGGCTCAAATGTTAGCCGATTTAACGATTTACTTTGTTCATTTGTGAGCTTGAGTTTCAAAGTTAAACGAAAAGAATTTGGAGATTTGACTGATACTTCTGATCTCTTTTCTGATCTCAAAATTCCACAACTTGATTTCCTTTCAAGACTTTACCCAATTCTTTTTCAGTTTTGCTGAATTCGAGGCGTCGTTTAACGAGTGGAAAGTGAAGAATTTCCATCCATTCAGGACTGCATCCAGTGAAACGTTGAGGTAAAGGAAATGAAGATATTCAGTGAAGAGAAATCATTGTTTGCAATTCTCTTTTCCCTACAATAAGTTAAATCTAAAATTTATTAAAGTCTGTGATTTAAAAGTACTACAAGCCCCAATATCGCTACATTAGCCAAAGCAAAATGTTCAGAAAGCTGATCGAACATCTTTAGAACTAAAGAACTTGCAAGATATTCATTTTGTTGACTGAATATCTTTTATTTTCTAGCATACTGAAGCTGAGCTAAATCTCTTTAATGATAGTAAACTTTAACGAAAGATTACTTGAAATGTGGCCCGGCATTTGGTTCACCATGAATTGGTGATCGCCACAATTTATTACGTTTTGTACGATTGAAGTCTCTTTCAAAAATGACACATAGAATTTGTATGCAAAGTCCATTAAATTTCTTGTGCATTCTCATTTGCATTTGCATTTTCCCTAAACAATTGAATGCTGGCTCTCTTTTTTGGGAAAACATTCCTAAATCTTTTATCTATATTAAATTTAAAACATGCAAAATTGGCTAAAAGAAGTGATTTTTGCTAAATTTAGAGAACCGGATGGATCAATCAATGGAAAGTACAAGTACCGCTACCTTGTCTATCATTGTTCACACTATGGAGCGCCGAGAGTTCGATGTAAGTGAAATGGCTGGAACAAAATTATAATTTTGATGGAGTTAATGATAATCAGAGCTTTAAAGATTTTTTCGCACATTTTTCGTACAAATAAGAGCTCAAACTCCGACCCATTGTTTTAAGATTAAACCAGGCCAAATTCTTATGTATTCTTGTGATATTCTAGTTCTGAACCAGGCCATGGCAGCCAAGCCAAGCCAGGCCTGGTTTAGTGGCTTAAGACTGGTCAACTGTTGCATCTTTAGCTTTCAGTTAGATCTTAAAAAGTTCTTTAGATTTAAGTTTCAAAAAGCTTGACTAAAGCTAATTGTTATTCAATATGTAAACGTCTTTATGCCGTGAACTTATAAAGAACTTATTTTCTTTATACTTTATCAAGTATAAAGAACTCATTTCAAGCAAGAAACGCCCGAAAACCACGCAGCAAATACCTACCTTGTGGCTGCAAGGCAATGCTTCGACTCATCTATGATTACAATGAAAAGGTTTGAGAGGTTGAGAAAGAAAACAAATTACAAGAATATAGACGTATATACCGTATTTTCTGTAATAGTAGTGCAGTCTGTAATAGTAGTGCAGGCTGGAGGGGGGTTGAAAAAAATAGTAGTGCGCACTACTATTACAGAAAATACGGTACTGATGTACCATATTTTCTCTAATAGTAGTGCACCCCGGCGAGCCGAGTTGATGACTATTCTACGGTTTTCAAGCTTTTGCAGAAGCTCAACACTCAAATCCCCCACAAGATCTCATCGTCAGCTACATTTTCCGACCCCACATTGATAGGTTCTGATAAGCGGTTCCCGAGATTTCGAGGAATTTAGGCGATGCTCAGGGTGCACTACTATTAGAGAAAATACGGTATATAGAGTTTTGCTAGGATCTACATAAATTGCTTTTCAGTCTTAAGTTTTAAGGGTTTAAAAATTTCGTTATAGTAAAAGTAAAATTTTAGCATAAATTGCTAAAATTTTGCTCACTAAAAATAGCAGCTATTGCATCTTGTAAAGAAAAAAAAGAGCAGATTTCAACTTAAACAAACCACACAATAATCTCAAAAAAAAGCTACAGAAAAGCTACAGATTCTACCGTTTTTTTTTAAACCAAAAATCTCCAATCCTGACACGGTTTAAACTTTGATTGATTGCTAATTTATTTACTTTCCCTACTTCTAAACAAATTGCTGATTTATTTACTTTCCCTACTTCTAAACAAATTGCTAATTTATTTACTTTCCCTACCTCTAATCCAATACAGTTCACTCATAAAGAAATATTTCTATATAAGTGATTTATTCATAGCATTAAATAGTGCGAAAATTTCTCTGAACTTGTTACAAATCTTTTGTTCTTTTAGAAGTTGGTGATTGCAGTGTTGAACGCTGAACACGAAGGACATCAGGTGAACGAGGAGATTTTTGAGAAGCTCAATCGACGGAATAAAGTGTTCGTTTATACAATAAGCAAAATTATAGCAAATATATTTAGCAAATTGCCCCAGAGTGATGGTGAGGATGATGGGGAAGGGGAAAACAACGAGCCGTCCTTTGAGCCGACACTCAACTTTGCTAGAGTGGTCAGGAAATCGTTTCGTTTCATTTCACTCAATCCCGTTTTCTAAACCCTATTCTCTTTCTACCGTAACCTATTTCTTATTAATCTATCTACTTGATGTATTCGATAAAAATAGAGACAAGATTAGGATAGAAAAGAAAAGAAAAGATATAGAAAAGATTAAGATAGAGAAAGGGGAAACGTTTTTTAAAAAATGGGTTGAATGAGAGAAGCAAAGCTAGTTTAATTTAAACGGATCTATATTTTAACAACTTGTCCAGAATCGAAACACTATTGCACAAAAAAAAATGGAAACGATCAAATTTGAAATCAAAGTTTTTCGTTTATAAGTAAAAGAATCGAAATTGGTTATTGGTTATTTAAAATCGAAATTCGAAATCTATTCACTTCTAAATTTTTCAGATGGCTCCTCAAAATTTCCTTCAAGTTCTTCAACAGCATCAGAAACTGATCGGTTTACCGCTTGAGGAGTCAGGGCAAAGTTTGCATGAATCGGTGAGGGGAAAAGCTTCTTTCAAAGTTTACTAGGCTAAAGTGAGCTTCAAACAAAGCTTCCATGATTATTTACAACTTAAACTTTTGCATTAAAACCCATCCATTAAAACCTACCCATTAAAACTTTTAGAAGTTTGATCCTTCCATTTGTTTGATCCATCTGAAGTTTGATCCAATTCTTTCCATCCATTTGGTGTCAAGCAATGAATCTTAAGCTCTACTAGAATTGCTAGCAATTAATAGAGTCAAATTTTCGTTGCCGATGAGCAAGTCGACAAATCGATAATGCATACAACAAAACAAAATTTTCAGTATTGCCCGCGAATGGTTGATGAATCGACGCTGAATTCGGCGACTTTAACACTTCGATCAAGTTATACGAGTGAGTTTTCGACGAGAAAAATAGGTCCAATCAAATTGCGCTTAACAATTTGTACGTTTGTACATTTGTACATCAAATGCTTTCTACTCGATTTTATGCAGGGTCAAGAATAATTAAAACGAAATTAAACCGAAATCAAAAAGTGATCCCGTTCAGCTTGAGAATTTTACTTTCAAGTGGTTAGTTTTGCAAACAAAAACAACAATAATTGATAGCCAAGCTTCAAAAGCTATGAGTCAAATTAGTGCCAAATAGAAAATACGGGTGAGCCGAGGATCCTAGTGCGCGTAGTAGTTTATTTTTCGGATTACTGTCATCCATCTTTTCTGATAAATTTGGCCCCTAAGAGCAAGCAAATCAACTAGTTACGGCAGTTATTTTGCGTACCGTAATCCTTTTCTATTCACCACTAGATAAGCAACAGATAAGTAATTTTAGCTAAAATTACTTATCTGTTGGATGTTAGAGAGGCTGAACCTTAAGCCTGAATCCTGAACTCTTTGAAACATTCAGATTCCGAAGTGACTGAATCGAATGAAACGAAAAACTTGTCGACGCTGGCCGAGAATCCGAGAGTTCAAGAGACAATCAGTGAGTTTTAAATCAATAAAACTAATTTGGGACTTGATCTTAAGTTTAGAATCAATAAAACTTCGAAATTGCTCTTAACTTTACAACCAATAAAACTTTCCAATCTCTCTTCAATTTTTCAGGAAATCTCCTCACTCATCTCTCGAGTTTCGACGAGAAAACGTTGAATGATCGATTGGAAACGATCAATACTTTTATTTCAAACTAATTGATGAAGTTTACGTTTGATTAATTGATAATTGATTAACATAATTGATTAACACTAATTGATTCAACATAACGTGTTCACTTTGAAACTTTGAAACTATTCATTTCGGATTCTTGTTCTAGATTTATATATTTAAAAGTTTATAGATAAAAAAATTGCTTAAAAATAGCATTTAACATCATCTGAAAGGTCATTTTTTGAACAAATAAACCGACTTTGTCTGTTGTCTGTTGTGCTCTGAAAAACGCTCAATATCTAGCTGGCTTGCTGGCTATACTGGCTTTTGATTTTCCCCGATCACTCTAAAAATAGCAAGGATGAGTTTTTTTGATCGATTTTCTGTAAGAAACACAAAGAACAAGGTTGCTATGAAATGCTTTTCAAAAATATCATTGGAAAGTTTTTTTTTGAGAAAAGAAGGAAGCTGACGAAAAGGCATTAAAATTTCAAAGAATATGCTTTTCTTTGGAAATAAAAGGAAAAAGAAGTGGAAAAGGAAAGAGATAATCTATGAAATCTTTTCTCTGAGCTTTTCCATCTCTATTGATCTTCCTTGTGAGGTTTATATTTGTCCTAAAAGTTTTCATGTATAAGAACATAGAGAAAATAGAGAAAATTTGTGTCAAAGTTGAACTTCCGAATTCCGCTACGAGTCTCGGAGTTTGGGGAACTTTTCTAATTTACTCTATAACTCGACTCCCAGTGATCGGATCGACTTCGGGTTAGTTGTGAAAGAATCCCCATTAAATTTGGTTTACAGTTCATTACCTTCCCTAAATCCACCTACCGCAAATACTGTAATAATACCCTAACCCCCTCGCACAGTCGCGTAGTCGCAAAAGTTTTTTTTCTGGTGAAGTGCCTCTGTACACGTTCTATTTTTGAATAAGATTTAATAGGGAAGGAGACCCAATCAAAGAAGCGTACTCAAGAATAGGGCGGACATAAGCAACAAAACACATCCAAGAAGTTTTGATGTTAGGTATGGTAATAAATCTGAGGATACGGTTTGCACTTATGGAGGCCTTATTACACATGAATTTAAAAAACGCATTGCACTCTAGTTTTTAGGAGTAGGAGCACACTCTAGTTTTTAGCATTGTAGGCTTTTTTTGAGAAGATTAAAAAAAAAGCACTTGACAAATGTGTAGAAAAGTTTGCTCTTTTTAAACTCGATTAAGAATTTGAAAAAATGTTTTTTCATCGCTTTATCTGGGATTTTTTTGTGTGCTTTTCAAAGTTTCTTTTCTGTTTTCTTGGAAGTGGGACAAATGCGACCTTTTTTTTGCGCACCCGGACATTTGCGCACCTTGCCCATTAGCGCACCTTTTTTCGCGTTTTAAAAAAGCTCTAAAAAGCTAATATTAACGAATTTCTATTCCAAAAGTTGTTTTTCTAGGTAATTTTAGGGCGTAGAATCGAAATTTTGACATATCAGAGCTTGTGGAAGCGAACGGACGAAGTTATACAAAGAGAAAACTCGACAATTTTCTGTAATTTGATCTAGCCGTTTTGTCTTTCAATTTCAATGTCTTTCAATTGGTTCCACAAGCTCTGATATGTCAAAATTTGAATTCGACACCCTCAAATTACCTAGAAAAACAACTTTTGGAATAGAAATTGGTTAATATTAGCTTTTTAGAGCTTTTTTAAAACGCGAAAAAAGGTGCGCTAATGGGCAAGGTGCGGAAAAAAAGGTGCGCAAATGTCCGGGTGCGCAAAAAAAAGATCGCATTTGTCCCACTCCCGTTTTCTTGGCTATTAGTCGAGAATTAATTCGATCTTTTAAAGGACAGAATTCTGATTCTAAATTCATTCGAGAACTAAACGAAAACTTGAAACATTATTTACGATTTTATCTCTATTCAATCGTTTGTCATTCTCCAATTCCATATTGATTTATTATGGAAACTTTCTTTGTTTAGCAATAAGGCAACTCTTTTCCTCATTCTTTTTGTTTCAATTCTGGAACATTTTATTTGAGCAATTTCTTCCTGAATCACTTAAAAAGCCCGATTTTTGCAGATATTCATTGAAAAATTGAAAAATTTGAAAGAAAACTTTTTTTTAAGGATTGTTAAGGATTTATAAAAAGTTTAATAATGATTAATTGATAAAAAATGATTAAGAAGGTTAAAAATGATTAAGAAGATTAAAAGAATAATCAAAAAAAATTCTGTGCCCAGGTAACGATGTTTAAAGTTGACTTCGGAAAACAAAAACAAAACCAAAACCAAAACCAAAACCAAAACAAACCAAAACCAAACCAAAACCAAAACTAACCAAAACTCGCCAATATCTCGCGACTGGGAGGAGCTAGCGAAAATCTGTTTGCAGATTTGAAATCAGCATCCAAAAATCTATCCCATAGGCTATTCTTTGTTTCGAAATTTCGAGGTCGTGTTTTGGTCCTTTTTTCGGCCGCGAGATTTTGTGGAGTGAGAAAAAGTGAAAGGCAAATTTACATTTTACATTAAAATTTGCATTTTACAATTTTAAATTTACATGTTAATTTATATGCAAATTGAGTTTTGGTTTGTTTTGGTTTGTTTTGGTTTGTTTTGGTTTTGGTCTGTTTTGGTTTTGGTTTTGTTTGCCGAAGTCTAGTTTAAAGTTGAAAATTTTAAAGAATTGTTCATCTATTTTCTTCAATTCCAATGTAGGCAATAAGTTTTTCAGAGATTTTTGAAACTTTTTTTTAAAAATATTTGTTAAACTAATTTCAAGAATTATTCAAAAAAAAAATGAAATTTCAGCTGAAATTTGATTCTCGATCGATGCATTTACCCGGGAATTTTTGGATTTTAATCTCAATCGGCCTCACATTGTACATAATAATTGATGAAAGGATATTCAATCAATTGCCGAGCACGGCCACGATATTGGCACAAATTGAGACGATCGGCGAGCGATATTCTCCATTCGATTTCAATTCGACCAGCCTTTCGCTCGAGACTATCGATATTTTTGATACTTGTAATCTAACGATCTATGATCCATACTATAAAGATATGGGGATGACTGTCGAGTGAGTGCATTTTTAAAATCATTTTAATCCTTTTAAACATTTAAAAAGTATTATTACAGTGCTGGACAATGAAATATGATATTTGAAAAAACGATCGTCACGTTCGCGCGTCTGTAACTCCGGGGGGGGAGGGGCCCCGCGCCACCACCTTACCCCCCCCCCCCCCCAACCTACCCAACCAAAAATTTTGGAAACATACCCCCCCCCTTAAACAATACACCGTTGCCCATTGTCTTTACCGTTATTCTAAATATTAATATTACGATTGTGTAGCCCTTGAAAAGAGCCTTCAGCAAATGTATAACACTAATAGTTTAAACTCAAAGACAATGGAGTTACAGACGCGCGAAAGTGACGATCGTTTTTTCAAGTATTATATTTCATTGTCCAGTAGTGTACATACTCTTATCTCCGAATTTCACTCAACTTACGTTTTCTCTTTTGCACTCTCGAAGCCAAGCATTCTCTTTTGCCATCGTGCATTGAAGCAGCTACCTTTAAAACTAAAACCAAGCATTCTGTTTTGCAGCTAAATGAAGCTCAATCCGTTTGGCTTAAAAGTCCAAAGTCTCTCTAAGTTACTAGGCTCTAGCCTAAGCGATTCATTCGATAAATAATTTTTCTCGTTTACTTTAAAACAAAAGTTTAAAGTTCGCCCATTACAGTACCTTTAAAGCAATATAATTTTTGAAAAATGGCCCATCCAGTTTTTTATTTTTCAAAGAAAATTCAGAAGTTAAGTTAAGTACTTAGTTTTAGAGTTAGCTGCTTCAATGCTCGATGACTTCTTTCTGTTGTATTGTAATTCTTAAAAGACTTCCCTTTCTTGAGAAAATAACGATTACAGAGCACTAGAAATAGTGCGTTTTCAATTTATAAAAAACAAAAAATCCTTCAAAGAGAAAAGTTTCAAAGTCGGTGGCTTCAATTCAACTTGAAAACCACTAATGGACATGGATGATGCTTCTGCTTAATTGCCTAAATTCTTTCTAAATGCCCAAATTTCTTACTCATTCAGTTGGGACAATCCGATGGCGAATTGCAATCGAAATCACACACCATACACAATTCTCAAAGACGGATGGCTTTCAATCGATCCGGAGAGGAAAAGTCAAGTCGATTATTGTAGAGCAAGGTTTGCATAGCAAAATAGCACACAACTATGATTTCATTTCATCGAATTACTCAATTTTCAGAACCTATGAATACATTAATCCGGAAAAATCGCGACCTCGTTCATGGTTTAACCTTGTCGAGAAGATGCAAATTGATCAGGATATCGTGAAAACTGAGTGTTATTCGAAGGATGGAAAAATCGTCGATCAATGGCTGCATACACAGATTTATGAAGGGAATCCAAGGTGGAGTTTCTAAAGTTTACAAAACCTCAATCTGGTCGTCATTTTCCAACAAAGCCAGTCTAGGCCAGTGTTGAACAAAAGGCAGATCTTAGACCTAGTCTTTAGTCCTTCGGTCAGTCCTTCGGTCAGTCCTACAGCTAACTGGGTTCAGGCCAAGGACTGACTGTTTGGTCTAGTTCTGACCTTGCCTAGCCTGAATTGATCCGGAAAGCTACCTTTGAAATAACTTTGTTTAAGAGCTTGATGTAGTGCAAACTAGACATGGGAGAATTCCGAGCCAAACCTAATTCCACCTTCGTTTTCTCAGCCATCTCTTGACCGATTGCTCTGAAATTTCGTTCACAAGCAGAGAATGTCAATGTCTATTGATAAACAAAATTTCAGAACAATCGACCAAAAGACGGCTGAGAAAATGAAGGTGGAATTAGGTTCGGCTCGGAATTTTCTCATGTCTAGTGTAAACAACTCATTTACCGAATTCAATTAACTTTTCAGCACTGTTGAGGTGGACAAATCACTTGGAAACGGGACAAATTTCCGTCCCGATATCGTGATGATCGTTCTCGATTCGGTTTCTTCGACACAAGCCAGACGGTTGGGTTAAATTCTGAATTAGAAGATTTAGAATCATTCAGCTCATTACCGCGAACATTGAGCTATTTGGAGACACAAATGGGCGGAATGCACTTTCATCATTTGAATAAAGTCGGCGAGAACACAAGCCCGAATGCTTATGCGATGTTGTTAGGTAAGGCAAGTTTACGTGTTGAGTATCTTGGTGGAATTGTAGCCGACAAGAAGTATTCAGGCTGGCGAATCTATTCGGCGAATCGAAAAGCGGTGAACGCGAAAGATCTCAGGCCGGATCACGATAAGATTTGCTCGGGATGGAGGGACAAAGATCCGGTCATATTTCGAGAATACGAGAAAATCGGTGAGGCTATGTACAAATTGGGCTTTCTATCTTGAATGCTTTGTAAAATATGTTCATTTTCAAAACTATTCTAATCTTTTCTCAACAATTACATGTATAAAAGTTGAAGTTTCAATTTAAAGGTAAAGAGAAGGTTAAAGGTACAGGGATAGAGAGACGGTTCATAAAGGTTTATAAAGGCGGGTTTTACTTGCTAGATGTCTTGTCGTCGTGGTGCAGCGGGGAGCGCGCTTCTCTACAGCTCCCACGTTCCGGGTTTGGCTTCCGGGTCTTTTATCCAGCATTGATTTTTTAAAAAATATTTTTAAAAACTCAACTACGATAAATACCATTCTTAGGTTTTCTAAAGAAATTTTAGCTTCTTTAGAAGGCTGAGAAAATGCCTGTACAGCTCTTTTATGTATTGGATTGGTGAATTGAAAACTGCGGGACTTTGAACTAAAATTTATTGAACATAAAAGCATAAATTCATCCGGAATAATTTCCATTATTACTGACGAGTTCTGCCCATTTTACAGGCAATTTGCGGCTTCCTCTTTCTTAGTAGGATTTTGGTTTTTGTGTGAGACGAGTGTGAGACTCAAAAATGGAGGACTGGAGATGTCCTGGAGATGTCCCAGTTTGAGCACTTTCTTCAGAAGAAACCCATTTTGGTGTCAATAGAAAAGTTGTAGAGAATCAAAAATTAGGCTTATAGCCAAATTTCCAAAAAGATACACTTAGTAGTCTCGCTTAAAATGCAAGTTTTGTGAAAATTCGTAGATTTCGCATCTCTTGAAAACCAGTTTTTGAATCGTTCTGAAAACCTCGATACAAGCTTCATTTTTGGTTCTCTACAACTTTTCCATTGACACCAAAATGGGTTTCTTTTGAAGAAAGTGCTCAAACTGTCACTTATGACAATAGCCCGCAGTTTTCAATTCACCAACCCAATAGTAAATACCAAGAAATACGTAAATAAGTTGAATAAAAACCAAAGAAAACTACAGTAGCTGAGAAATTGTTTTAGAAAACGTTAATCTCCTTCAGGGTACAAAACATTCTACAGTGATGACTATAAACAGGGAACGGCTTTCTCGTGGAGTTGCAAGGGTTTCAGGAATCAAGAGGCAAATCATATATGGAGGTGAGCTTTGATAGAATACATTGGATTATCTAGGAAATGGCTGACAATTCAGGGACTACCTTTGGGCTTGGCACAATGAGAACAAGTTACGGGACTTTATGAGTCCAAAGAATTGCTTTGAAATGCACATTGGACAATTGCAACAATCAACAAATTTCCTGAATGCATACAATGGTAAAGAAAGTGGAAATGACATAAACGTAATGTTTCAGGTATCCCAAAATTCTTGCTGCATTGGAGTTGTGAGGCGTCTCATGATCTCCCCAATCCTCTCTATCACACCGATCAGGATTACTTGGTGGGAAAGTTGATTCAAGAAGTTGTTTATATTAATCCTTTTTCTAATTCAATATCTCTTTTGCATCATTAAATTCGTTTTCAGAATTTCTTTCAAAAGAATAAACCCATTTTGGACAATGCTTTTCTTTTTGTGATGGGCGATCACGGGCCACGATTTGGGACGGTCAGTTCAATTTGAAGCGATGAAGATTTTCCTGAATTCATGAAAGATTCAAAAGCTGAAGCAATAGCTAAAGATTCACCAAACCCATTTCAGCCATCAAAAGCCGAGTTGAATAAACGAGAGATCAACAATCCACTCTTGCACATTTCTCTACCAAAATTTCTGCGAAATCATACACAAGTGAGTTTACAAGCTGGTAACTATAAAAGAAAAGACTATAAAAGAAAATTTAGCTAATAAAGAATCTGCAAGAGAACTCCATTCGTTTACTGACACAATTCGACGTTCATGCGACTCTTGTTGATCTTTTAAAGGTTCGTTGAACATTTGAAGCTAAAACTTCTTTAGAAAACATTAGAATCTATTGTAGTTATGGTATTTAAAATAAAAAAAATTAGAAAAGTCAAGATTGAGTGGCACTACGGGGGATCGAACCCGACTCGTGTGAGCTGTAGAGCGCGCTCCTGATTGCGCTACGGCGACAAGGGAGAGGCGCCCTTTCTTTCAACTTTTTCGTCAAGATTCCAAAATGGATTTCAGTTCGCTCCCGAGTCTAACTTCACTGATTTCTCCGAATTCGATGTGATGGAGGGAAATGAAAACAATGGCACATCGATATTTCGGCCATTTCCCGAGAAATTCCAGAAAAGAACGTGCCAGACGATTCCCGTAAATGCAGCCTATTGTTTGTGTGAATACAAGAAAGAAAATATTGAGTGAGTAATTTTCTAAAGCTTAAAAAAACCATTGTCAACAAAGGTTTGCAAAATTTAGTGACGCAATGCTGATTGAAAAGCTCTCAAAAGTGGCACTGGAAAAGTTGAATGGATATTTGAGAGAAAATGGAGTGAGCGGATCGTGTGAAACGTTGACGTTGGACAAGGTAAGACTGAGAAAATGCAGTAGATTCGAAAATTTAAGGGGAAATTTAAACGAAAAATCAACTTCAGATAAAATCCGTCAAGAGTTTCATACCCGTCGAGAAAACGAACCTTTACGAGATTCATTTCATCGTCAAAGAGAGCAAAGGGGAATTCCGAGTGGTCAGTTGGCTATGAGACATTGAATGTGCAAGAAAATCTTAGTTTCATACTCAGAAAAATAGATTTCCAGAGATAATAAGAGATATAGCTTTGTTATTTGATGAAAATTTTTTATAACCACTTTCTGGAGCAATTATTTTTACGGTTCTGGTGCTAAACTCAAGATTTAGTAAAAAGAAAATCAGTTTTTTAGTGGTATGAACGATTTTAAAGGAAATAGCTGTAAAGGAAGTAGCTGTAAAGGAAATAGCTGTTTGGGATCTGTAGGGCGTTCAATTATTACCCGGATTTCGTATTTTAAGTAGTGTAACTGAGCACTCAGATTTGCAATCATCTCACGCTTTGCTTTAATAGAAAATTTTAATATTTTTCTACGTTGGATTCTTAGATTTGACAAAAAAACGTTTTTCTGTCTCTCTTTTATAGAGCCTCAAAGTTGGTATTGAGGAGCTGCTGGCAGGGCATTCGTTTTTGGCTTTTCATTTCAAGAAAACGTCAAAGATTGAGCATTTCTTTGAACGCTTTTGTTTTTGCAATACGTTTTAAACATTATCAAACAATTCAAACATTATCAAACAAACTTTTCAAATTTTTTACGATTTTAAAGGAAATAGCTGTTTGAGATCTAGTTTTCGGGTCGTTTCCAATTAACCAACCTAATAAATAAGCTGCTCAAAAAAATGCGATATTTACTCGATCAAAATGAAAAAAAAATATCTCTAAAATTTGCTAAAGAAGCTAAGAAGCTAAAGAAGTTAAAGAAAAGCTTAATTTTCTCTTTCAGTTGCTAAAGAAAGATTCGAATGGCGTTTTCCATCGCGAAGGTGATTTTCTTCGTTTAAACAAATACGCGGGTCAATCCGATTGTATCGACGTTAAACGAGCAGATTTGAGGCGGATTTGTTTATGTAAAGGAATCAAAGTGTGAAAAGAGAATGAGATTTCGATTTTTTTTCTTTTATTGTTAGCAATTTTGTGCTACAGGTTTTTAGGTTATTCGAATTCAAAGATTTCACTTTTTTTCTCTATTTTTGATCTAACTTATGGCTTGAACGGGTTTTTACGGTTTTTTTAAAATTCTGTACTTTTTTTGCTTTCTCTAGATATTCTTGGTGCTTTTTTTCATTTCATTGTTGAATAAATGTTTATTCGTATTTAATTGTACTCGAACTGGTACTATCATTTACATTCAAACACAGTAAATCTTTCGGAAGTGGTCCCTTGTGCCCATCACCGCGCTTCACTTTGATCGAATCAGTGTACGACCATTGGCGAATGATCTAGAAATCGTTTAGTTTAACTATCGAAGCACAATAGTTTAACAGAATATAGAATTTGTAGCATAGAGTCAAAAAGAGAGTCGAATTTAGGGCAAGAATTGTTCTCAAAGACATAGTGACATCAAAAAACGCCAAATCAAAAAAAAATCAGCTCACCTTGTTCCTTGATTCTCCTGGACCGCGTTGAAGTACAAGACGTTGAAAGCACTTTGACCATATCTAAAAAAAAGAAATAGATTCAATATTTTAATAAATACCGATGGCAATGTGTATGCCCTTTTCCACAATGCAAATAGGCGCCAATTGGGCTCATACAGTCGGCTGTGAGAGCACAAAGGAAATTGGGCTATTCAAAAAGCAATTCATCGAATACAACTGACCATTTCAACAACTCTGTCGTGAATTTATCACGCTTTACGACGAGAATTCCACCGGCGAATTGAAATGAATCTGCCGATCTCATCGATCGGCAAGAATAGGTAGATAGGCGAAATCATTTTAGCTGAAAGTTTTTCCAAAGCAAAATCCAAAGCCCAATATTGAATTGTCGTGAAGTTTCTTCTAGCCGACATGCTGAATGGAGGAACCTAGAAGAAATGGTTGTACTGGCTGTAAAAATAGCTGTAAAATGGGTTTAAAATGACTGACTAATTCCTGAGTCAGTACAGAGTGCGTGAAAGGTTTTGTCCCCTTCTCCAAAGATGGTTATTTTTTGAGAAAGAATCAAACAAAATAGAGACAAACGGACATTAAATTTAAAATCTTTAACTATTTTTATCGTTTTAATTCTTTTATTAAAAAGATCTATTGTTTCGAAGATCGGTTTTTCGCTCGATTACTTGCAGGAACTCATTTACGTTTTTTTTCGGCAATCTCTAATATTAATTGATTTTTAAATGTGAAAAAGCTGAAATAAAACTAACTTTTTAAATATTAGAGAAGAAAAGAAAGATTTTCCTTTAAAACTAGTCATTTTACGGTCAGATTAGTTAAGAACTCGCCATTTTTTAAGCACTGTTTTTAATTTTTACTCAAAAGGGTTAGAATATCAAAGAAGCCTAGCAATTCAGCAAAAAAAAAACTGATTTTCAAAACAAAAACCTTTTGAAGAAACATTTCTAGAGTAAAAATAGTCAAAGATTTCAAATTTGAACTCCGTTTTTCTCTAATTTCCTTGATTCGAGTACAAATGATTCTTGGAGAGAGGACAGAGCTTTTCACGCAGTTTTTCACGCACTGTAAACAGAACAGAACCTGGAACCTGAAATTAACCGAAACAAAAATACTCTAGTGAAATGAAAAAGAATGATTTGAGTACCTTAGAAAGGATGTGTTTCTGCTTTTGAGTACAAAATAGAGATTGACTGATAGATTTCAGACTCACCTTTCCTTTCCGTACATCATCCCAATATTCTCTCAACAATGTCACATTGTTCGGTCGTATGCTCGCGTCCATTACGTGAAAGAAATCGAAATCTGAGTAGGCATCCTGAATTAAATTTAAATTTACAGAAATTTCAGAATTCTAGCTATTAAAGTCTGATTAAAGCTTTTAACAGCTATCTAAAAAACCAGGTTTCAAATTGAACAATGACAAAGAAATGTTTGGTTATTAGTTCAGTGACATTCTTTTCTTTCTTTCTTTCTTTCCTTCTTTCTTTCTTCTCTTGTCTTTCCTTCTTTCTCTTGGCAAGTTAAGCCACCGGATAGCTCAGTGGTTAGAGCAATTGCTGAGCGAAAGGTCGAGGGTTCAATCCCGGAAATCTACGTTCTCTTGCCAATTCCTTCACTTCTTTATTTCTAACCAACTTTATTATATTCTTTCTTCGATTCACTCACCACAATCGCCACCACTTTGAAAGCATAATTCAATAAATTAAAAATATGCGATGGATACGCTCGAAAATCAAGCTCTCGAATCTCCAAATCACAAATCGCACGGAGTTCTTGTTTCTGAAAAGAAGGAAAACATTTTTTAAAGTAAAAACTGTTAAGTTTTACTTGCTCATCACTTAATTGCAGTGAATAGAAAACGATTTTTCGCCCAAGTTTCGCCTTTTTCCACGCAATGAGCATCTTCTTTGACTCATCGAAATGATTCGGTGATGCATAGGTGAGGATAACTGGTTCCTTGTCAAGGATTGGAGTTGATGCGTTAAAATCGGTGAATTTCTCTGGAATTAGAGTCTTTTGATCATGAAGATTATCAAATTGATCGACTCGAAAAGGTTTTTAATAAGCCATCAAATACCAGTCAAATTCTCGAGAGCTGGTATTGAGACAAGAAAGTTTTCTGCTCAAATCTGATACGCACATTCTTCTAAATCACGTCCGTATTCTTCAACCGCAGCAGCGCGTTCTTTCTCATGCAGCCAATCCATGAGATCATCTGCCTGACGAACATAGGCATGGTATCTAAAAGTAGTCGAATTAGAGGATCCAAACCATAATACCGGCTCGCATCTCCAAGCTGTGTCATCCGTCTCGAAATTTCATTCAACAACTGAGAATAAGCAGCTTCAAGTTTATGCTGGCGTGAATCGATCTAAACATGAAAAAATATTTATTTACGTTAGTAAAAGCTCACCTGAGTTGAATCCTGATAGTCTTGTTGAACAAGCCTCTCCGCTAATTTTTTCATTCTCTTGACCTCATCGTTGAACTTGATGGCATCCTGCTCCAAAATGCCCAAACGACGAAGCTGTGATTCAGCACCAGCCTTAACGAAGACACTAATTTTTTTAATTTAGAATTATTAAAACCTTTTACAGACTTTTACAATTGGCAAAAGCCCAGACTTTTACAATTGGTAAAAGTCTGGGCTATAGGCAAAAGAGCAAAAAAGCTGGTTATAAAGTCTAATCAAAAGTAGATTTAAGCCATTACCTAATCCTTTAATATATTTCTTCAGCGAGCAATCAAATTGGATTCCCTTTCCTTGAACGGATTTTCGATTGATTCGGTGAAGAGGGCGGTAACAGAACTGAAATTCAAAATGATTTAGAGATTTAGGAAACAGATAGATAGACAGACAGACAGACAGACAAACAAACAGACAGACAGACAGACAGCCAGACAGACAGATAGGCAGACAGACAGATAGGCAGATTTTCCTCAAAAGGCAACTTTTAAATCAACCCGAATCTTTTATCTACCCGGAAACAAATCCCCTTTTCGTTATCGTACATTAATTGTACATGCCAGGTACAAAATGTGCGGGTCGTCGCTGAAAATAAACGAGATTTTCGCCAAAGACTAAGAGAGGTTAAAAAGCGGCTAAATGAGGCAAAAAAGCGGCATTTTTCGTCATTGAATCTGTTTTCAGACCATTAAACAGAACATAGTCCAATAAACGAGCAAAGAATTTTTGGCGTTGTTTTGAAACTGAAAGCTTTGTTTTTTGCGCTTTGCACTTTACTTGCCTCAAAGTTGGCCGTACTCTTGAATTCTTTTTGGTTTTTTCAATGGTTTATCGTCAGATATCTTGTAAAATTTCAATATTTTACCTCAATACAGTAGGCCAGAATAAGACTGAATATCTTTTTAAACCCAGGGAAGCTTGAAAATTTGTATACATTTTTGCGAGTGTGTTAAATATAAGAATACTATGAATAGAAGTGAAATAATCGTTTATTTGTATATGTTGTGTCCGATTTAGATTTCCGTCCGATTTAGATTCAATCTAAATCGGACGTCCGATTTAGATTGAACTTATCGCGGACGTCCGATTTAGATTACAGTCTATATCGGACGTCCGATTTAGACTCAATCTAAATCGGACGTCTTATATAGATTGAACAATAATATAAGCATGTTTAGTATATGTTCTTAAGCGTTTTCTGTAGTTTTCTGCATTTTTCAAAGGTCTGTTATTGTCTTTTTCTGAAAAGAAAACCCAACTATGAAATAATCAATAAAAGACCTTTGAAAATGCAGAAAACTACAGAAAACGCTTAAGAACATATACTAAACATGTTTATATTATTGTTCAATCTATATAAGATTTAGATTGAATCTAAATCGGACGTCCGATATAGACTGTAATCTAAATCGGACGGAAATCTAAATCGGACACAACATATATATAGCCGTTTAAGAAATTCAGCCGTTAACGAATCATTCGTAAACGGATTAGGACGGATTAGGACGTCCGAAACCGGCCACAAGATAATCAATGGCCGGATTCGGACGTTCGAATCCGACCACACTCATTCTGGTCGCATTCGGACGTAACATATATATATGTTGTGTCCGATTTAGATTTCCGTCCGATTTAGATTCAATCTAAATCGGACCTCCGATTTAGATTGAACTTATCGCGGACGTCCGATTTAGATTACAGTCTATATCGGACGTCCGATTTAGATTGAATCTAAATCGGACGTCTATATACATTGAACAATAATATAAACATGTTTAATATATGTTCTTAAGCGTTTTTGCAATTTTCTGCGCTTTTCAAGGAAATTTTATTGTCTTTTTCTGAAAAGAAAACCCAACTATGAAACAATTTATTAGCGTTAACAGAATAGATGCAAAATTACAACATATAACAACAAAAAACTAACAACAACAACGAACGAGTTAAAAATTTCTATTTATTTTTTGCAGCTTAGGCTATTGTGACATCTTGAATTGCAGAGTCGGCCATCCTTTTTGCACGAACATCGATTGGATGAGCATTTTCCAGCACCTAAGCAATGTTTATGGCCTAATGGAACACGCAAAAAATGAAATAAAGTTATAGTTACTTATCTTGTTTCCCGTGAATAGAAGAATCACCGATGGCGGCACGAAAGGAAGTTGAACATTCCGGCACATCAGCAATAACAAGAATGTAATATCTTCGGTGGTCCGAAGATTCCAAATAGCATCCCAAGGTTCTCTACAACTTCTTTTGCGGTTTTTGTCTTCGAAGGGCGCAGCGTCACGAATTTGGTTAAATGGTCCTAAAATTTATCTTTTATTACAATAAATAACAGAAAAAAAACCTGGTATACTAGAATGAACTTGAAATCACCATCCGGTGTTGATTGGAGATCGATAAGATCCACTTGACAACGCTCGTTTTGTTTTTGCGTTAAGATTGGCCTCACAACGACCGTTTTCTTTAAATTTCCTCTTTTCAATTCGCATTCTTCACACAATTTGACGTAGAGACTGAGGATTTCTCTAAAAATGTAGTTTAAGCCAGTAAGCAGCAAATAAAATAATAAAGTCAAAAACCCACTTTGAAATACCATAATATCCTCGGAGATTTTGCCACATCAAGTTTATTCCAGCGTGTCCAAGTTTTTTGTGTGTTTCGTGTAAGAGCTGAAAGACCGCTTCTCGCTTAATCACTCGTTGTTGTGCTGGCATCTCTCCGCTGCCATTTTTCTCGCCCACATGATAAAGCTGCGCTCCCTTTTGTTCAATCACGAGCGCAAATCTTTTCAGCAAGTTGTTTTCGTGGTAGTTTTGAGGTAGTTTTGGTTTCTCGCAGTTTTCATGATGATTGTGGAGCGTTTCAACCATCAAATTGTAGGTTTCAGCGGTTGGAATTTGTCCTCTTTTCTTCTTTTGTAAAAACACGTCAAATTCTTGGTCAAAAACGTCCTCCATCTGTAAAAAAGCAGCATTTAATAGGAAAACAAGAAAACAAAAAATTCTCAAAAAAAAGACAATAAAATTTCTTTGAAATTGCAAAAAAACGCTTAAGAACATATATTAAGCACGTTTATTATTGTTCGATCTGTATCGGACGTCCGATATAGACTGTAATTAATAAAAGACCTTTGAAAATGCAGAAAACTACAGAAAACGCTTAAGAACATATATTAAACATAGAAATTTTTAACTCGTTCGTTGTTGTTGTTAGTTTTTTGTTGTTATATGTTGTAATTTTGCATCTATTCTGTTAACGCTAATAAATTGTTTCATAGTTGGGTTTTCTTTTCAGAAAAAGACAATAAAATTTCCTTGAAAAGCGCAGAAAATTGCAAAAACGCTTAAGAACATATATTAAACATGTTTATATTATTGTTCAATGTATATAGACGTCCGATTTAGATTCAATCTAAATCGGACGTCCGATATAGACTGTAATCTAAATCGGACGTCCGCGATAAGTTCAATCTAAATCGGACGGAAATCTAAATCGGACACAACATATATATAGCCGTTTACGAAATTCAGCCATTAATGAATCATTCGTTAGCGGCTGAATTTTGTAAATGGCTACGACATATACAGTTTCTAAGTTATATATATATTTATTTATAAATAAAGAACCACAATCAGGTCATAAGACCATGATGTCACAAAAGACTTCAAGATTCGAAGAGCTATCTGTCACAAAATGTCATGATCCGAAGAGCAGAGCACTGTCAAAAGGTTTCATGACCGAAATCACTCAACCGATTGGCATAAGCCGTATGATTAAAGATATAAGAAAAGTAAAATCTTATCATCTTATCATATAGTTGACCCCTTGGCCTCATTTCATTGACTGAGCAAATACAGGGTGACGAAAAATTATGGACTTACCCTTTTCGTAATGTAAGTTGTCAAATGGAATCCAAAACTACCGAGGATTTAGAGATTTGAAGTGCTTAGAGTGTAGTTGACCTCTTGGCCTCATGAAAAATTATGGGCTTACCCTTTTCGTAATGTAAGTTGTCAAATTGAAATTCAAAACTATCAAGTGTTATATAGAGAATTGAAGCCCTGAATCTTGGCTACATCTATCTAAATTTCAAATTATAAAGTTTGATTCAATTGGTATTGGTAGAATCTTGTTTAAAAAAAAGTTTAGGGTAATATGCTTTTTGTTGATTGGTTACTTGTTTTCAATGCTTTACGAAGTTGTAAACTTGTAAGCTTGTTTCAATTTGGGTTCTCTTAGGCCTAGACTGGTTAAAACATTGATCCCACTCACGTCAGTCCCTCGACAATAGCATTCCTTTCCCGGTTGCAGATCGAAATCCCAAAAATAGAAAAGCGCCAAAGTCGCCACCGATACAATGAGTAAATAGGAGAAAATTGCTACCGTAAATACTGTAATAGTACCCCACCCCCATAATGACGGTGCGGAGTGTTGCGTAGTCTAGCTTTGAACGAGTTTTTCTCGACACTGGTTTATGCTACAATGCGCGCTTAGGTATCAAAAAATAGCTGAAATTCAGGGCTATTTTTTGATACCAAAGGCGCATCTTTTTGAAAGCACGGGCGCTTTGAAAAAAATGAAATACTAAAAAACTTTTGCGACTACGCGACTGTACGAGGGGGTGGGGTACTATCACAGTATTTACGCTAGTTTATTGCATGGAAAAGTTATAGTAGTTATAGTCATAAAAAAGTTATAGTAGCACAATAGATGCAATTTAAAGAAAAGAATAAGTAAATAGTGATGTTGTAAAGATAACGGTAATAGTTTGCTCAACTCTCTCTTTCAAATTCCTTTCCGCTTTTCACAAAAATCGATTCTTTTCAATCTTTCTTATCAAAGGAATGAATGCTTTCATTTCTGAATGATTCATAAATAAATCTTCTACACAAGTTCTAATAGAAAATCTTTCAAGCTTAGACTTTCATTTTGTATATTTTCTTAGTATTTTATCATCTAGGACACTCAAAAGATAGCTAAAAAGTTATTTGAGATCGTTTGACTAGATTTAGCTTCTAGGTTTTAAAATTATAATTTTAAAACTTCTTTTAACTTCATTGTTAAAAGATTTTCTTTTGTTTTTATGTCTAAAATCATTTTTAACTTCAAATTTTGTGAAGTTTTTGTATTAAAGTTTTAATTTGTATTAAAATCCTTTCACAGACTCTTCCAATGCGTCCAAACGTTGCCCCAGCTCTACTTTTCTTCGCCGTTTTAAGTATTTTCTGTTATTTGCTATATTCAAATGCTAGAGGTTGGTTTTTGGATTGAAATTAGATTAGAAATTAGATTAGATTATGATCGTAATACTTTCAGAAGGTTGTCTAGACGCGTGGAGCGATAAAGTCTTCTTGCAAGACTATGTTCTCACGAAGAAACATTACGTGGAAACTGCCAAGGAAAGGACAAATTTGTTGAGGTGAAACTGATTTTAAACTCTGAGATTTATAAAAGTATTAACCAATCGATCAATTCTCCTAAAGCTTTCCCTATTTAGAGACGTTTTACTGCAAAAGAGAACCAAAACTTGGCGATTCGCTGACATCTACAATGGATTGGTGCCAGAGGTGAGAAGGAACTAGGATTCGAGAGGTTTATCTAGAGATCTAGGAACTAGATTAGATAAATCTAGTTCCTAGATTCCTAGATAAACCTAGTACCCGCATTTGACACGAACTTCAAATTCACCAAATTCTGGGAAGAAAAATCGGCCCAAATCATAACATCACCTCCTCCATAGTTGCCGAAATACTTTGGTTCTTTGCGCAGATCTCTCAAATAATGCATAACACGGTCCCGATTTGGTTCCAATACGGTTCTAAAACAGGGCCGTCGGGGTTAAACTTCTTTCGTAGTCACTATAAGTGACAGAAACAGAAGCAACTCAGGTCCAGACAACAGAAGCAATTCAGGTCTTTTGCACATCACTCCTCCGCGTCGGTAAAGTGAGCGATGGTGGGAAATGGATTTGCCGACCGTGGAGTATGCCAAACGATTGTGCTGTTTATTCATTGGGTGAGCATTTATGTTGCAGAATTTTTAGCAAAATATAGCCAAATTTAAACCAAAGATTGATCCCAAGGAGATTGAGAATAGAGGCGCCCAAGGTGGTAAAGCCGGCTCGGCCCCCTTAAGCGTTTACGAAAGGAAAAAAAGGAAACCCCTTGTACCAGAGCGGTTTGCCAGGTCGCAAGCGATTATGCGGCTGCACAAAGAACACTTCGGCAGTCATTTACAGAGATTTCTCTTTTGCTATGTTGATTGTATAAAAAGAAGATATTCAGTTGTAAATTTGTAACTGGGGGTTTTCGGGGTCGGTGAATCGATTGGAGATATTTATTTTATTGAATCTATCAATGGGAACTCGGAGAAACGGTCCTAATTCGGATTGCTTCTTTAGACTCGAAAAATTACTCAAGTTATCAATGGTCGTTTAATGGTCAATGGGTTAATGGTTATCATATCAATGGTCAATGGTCGTTCAAACGATCAGAAGGCTTACAATCAGCTCTTTTTCAGAATCTCAGAAGACTTTAAAGAATTTTTGATTTCCATTGAACCAACATCAAGATTTCAGGTGTCAATCAAGATACGTCATTCGAAAGAGATCTCCAATCATTGACGCAATCAAGATGTCGACTATATGCCTATGATAAGGTGGGATTTTTGATCAAGGAAGGTTAACAAATATATTTGAAACTTTGAATTTCTAAATTTACAACTAAATCCTTTGCAGAACCAGCCAAAATCCGCAAAAGTCCTCGAGGGACTCGACAAAATGAATGTTCATTTCAAGAAAGGATTAATCGGAATTGTGAATGATCCGGAAAACGGAAAATTGAGTATTCAAGAGGAAATGAAATTGTATAAGGATAAAAGAGTCGAGATTTTAAAGATTGATATTGAAGGTGAGAAATGGGAAAAGTGCTTGAAATCAAGATTGATTTCAGGTGCAGAACTGAAGGTACTCCCGGAGTTGATAAATGCGGCTAGGATTTGTCAGGTTTGTAACCAAAATAACAAAGTTTTAGACGCTTTCATTTTAAACCACTTTAAAAGTTCAAGCTCAACTTATGAGAGCGTATTGGTGTTTGATTGAAAACTTTTGATTTCATTGCGTCCTCGTCGAATCGACGAAACTTGCCAGAAGGATTTCCAGGCTTTGGCCAAAGCCTGGTCAGGCCTGGTTCGATCCTGATGAACACCTGAGCCAGAGCTTTACTTAGAAAGGAATCTCAACAGGATTTGGTGGCCAAATAATATGAGCCATATACTAACCGACGTAGAATTTTGCGCTGATTCCAAAACTGCTTTCTGTTTTTGAAACGCGCAGCACTTTGTCAAAAGTTATAATCACAAGAATCAAGAATCACAAAAAAGTTATAATCACAAGAATCAAGAATCACAAAAAACAGACCTTGAGGGTATAAGTTGACTTACCAAGAGTAGGGAGAGGAGATCGTTGTGGCCGAGTGGTAGTGGGCTTGCATACGATTTTGCATAATCAAGGATTCTAGGGTTCGAGTCCGTGGTTTAGCTTTTGTTTTTGCTTCTTTTGTTTTTGCTTCTTTTGTTTTTGCTTTTTTGAATGGTTTAAGTGTTTTGGCGATTTTGGATGGTTATCATTAGATGTGTGAATATCCAAAGCAACAGTGTGCCAGCTGCTGTACGATTGTGCGCGCACATAGAGAATACTTAAACCATTCAAAGCTAAAAGATGCAAAGAGAAAAGTCAAGCCTTGGACCAGAACCCTACCGTCCTTGCTTTCCTCTCACTTCGTATGAAGCCCGCTGCCACTCGGCCACCACGAAATCTTCTCAATCCCTTGGTAAGTCAACTTATAAGCACAAAATCTGTTTTCTGCGATTTCATACAAAACTTTGAGCGCTTATATCTTTTGACAGAGTGTTTTGTTTCAAAAACGGAAAGCAGAACGGAACCAGCGCTCGACTTTACAGCTTTTAAAAAATGAACTAACGCGAGCTTTTCAGCAATTCATAAAGGACACTTTGTAAATAATAAATAGGAGTTTCTGATAAAACAAATCATAGATCAATTGGTTCATTATTTATTTTAAAAAGTAACCTTTAAAAAAGTGGAAAAGACGTCCCAGAAAAGACAATCTGCTAACCTGTAAACGTGGAAGAATGAATTCAAGAATGAGACTGTTAAAGTGATATGAGCTAGTCCAATTTCAGTCAAATCACTTTCTCGTCAACATTCTCTCGTTTCAGATCCTCGTTGAGATCCACGCCGATCCGCATCTTGTACTCGATTTGATGAAGAAGCTGGCCAAAGGCGGTTATCGTTTATTCTCCTATGAGATCAACGGTTTATTGCATCATTTGAGTGAATATTCATTTATTCATGATGATTGTTTAGAGCAATATAATGTTTTACCATTTGAAAATTATTTGGAAAATTTGTGAAAAGATCAATTGTTTACACTCAAGATTCTTTGTTCGTTTTTTTACGGGATTCATAAACTTTCATCGTTTTTGAGTGAGACATTTGCGTCGCAAAAAGTTGCAAAAAAACGATTTAGATAGAGAAAAACAAGACGGATTTGAGAAATAGATTCTTTGTAAAAAAGGAGCTCTAAGCTAGAAAGCTAGAAAAAGCGATTCTTCCAGAAAATTCGGATCGGGAAGGAGCTATGAGCGACTGAGCTCTAAATTTGGCTATATATTTTCTACAAATTCGACATCAATTGCTCAAAGCTTTCAATTGTCAAAAGATTTAATTGACTTTTAAAAAATTTGAGTTTCAAACACGAATCAATTCCTATTCTTTGAATCTAGCTAAAAACGTTTTATTTCAATGTTATGTAGGCGTTCACGTTCAAATTAAATTAGTTTTGCACAGTACTTTCTGGTGATAGTAAGTCGTTGCTGTAAAAGAAATTAAAGAGTTGAGTACGATAAAAATTAACAGAAAAGAATCAAAAAAAATCGAGTGTACCGCTGTTATGATACAAGCTCTTTGAAATGTTTTCTTTGAAAAGAATTTGATGGTCTTTTTCTTGACAATGGGAAAATTCTCCGGAATCATTCCTATTCTTCGACTCTAGCCAAAAACGTTTTATTTCCACGTGATGTAACCGTTCGATGATTGCAAAGTAATTCATTTTTTTCAAAACTTGTATTTGTAGTTGGTTCGTCTAACTGTTTTTAGTTCTACAAAGCCGATTTAGCAAAAAAAAATTTCTGAGCTTTTTTTCTATCTCTCTTAAAACAAGGCTCTATTTTGCTTCTCTTCTCAAAGACGTTCGATGAACAGTGCACAGGAGTGCCAGCGGTTGGTTTTGCAGCATTGGCTAGGGTTGGCTTTGTTGTTGTTTTATTGGCTTTGTTGGCTTTTAAGGTTCTGTTGGATCAGAGCTCATCCAGGAACAATTCAGCTTTCCAAATGATATCTAATAAAGGTTAATTGGACTAACCGATCGAGAGACCAAGTTTTCATTTTGATCGAATTAGTCAGTTTAGCTACTTTTTAAGTAACACAAGTTCAACGGGATGTCGAATTTGTAGCATAAATACAGCAAAATTTAAGGCAAAAATTGATCCTAAGGAATTTGAGCATAGTGACGTCCAAAATGCCTTTCTTGACCTTGTTTGATCCAAAATCCAAACAAAGTTCTCTTCGAAACGACTCTGGTTCACCTATACTACTTTCCAAAGCATACTTGTGTAAGATTTGCTTTGTCGAAGTTGCTGAAACGTGTTAGAGCTTATTGTCAATGTTAAACTGTTGGTGAACCGTTAAGCACGTCTGCCTATTCATAATTCGAATCTTCAGGGTAGCTGTATCCTGCACAGTAACAAGTCATTAATCTCTGAAAGTGACGTCTTTGAGCCTCGTTTTATTGATGGAATTGAGTTCGTTTTTACAAAAATTTTATTGTAAAAGTATAGTCTAGAAAAGATTCCACGGAGATCTGATCAAATTTTCGTTTTCTCGATTAGAGAAGCAGCGCAACGAGTTGAGAAACCGAAGGTGCCAGGTGGGAAAGTGAAAAGGAAAAGTGTTCTTAGTGATCTTTCTTATTGTTAGATTACTTTTTCAATGCTTCGTTGAGTTATTTGAGTACAGCTGATATCCCGTACAATCACCGATATGAGTGGATGAGAAAAGATGAGAGTGAGAAAAGAGGTACAGTGATTTACATTGAAGACGCCAATAAGCTTTTGACCTTGAGATAAGCTCTTGAGATTTGGCATAGAAGCTCATTATAGTTTAGCTCCCTTTCTTGGCTTCTGGCTTCTCAAGTTTCCAAAATCAAATATTGTAATGTAAATCAAATTAGTTACTTATTTGGCTTCGAGCTTGGCCTGGCCTGGCTTCGAACTTGATCTGGCCTGGCTTCGAACTTGATCTGGCCTGGCTTCGAACTTGGCCTGGCCTGGCTTCGAACTTGACCTGGCCTGGCTTCGCCTAAAGCCTATTAGAACATCTTTACTTTTAAGGCGCGTAAATTTTTATAACTTATTTTCTATTCAGCTAGCCTAGAGCTTTAAGTGGATGGATAAAATTCAAAGAATCTTTGTTAACTTGTTGTAAATCCAGTTGTGTTGAGAATTTTCGGTGTGAACGCCAATAGGCAACGGAAAAGCTGGCATATCTCAGCCGATTTCTCTCCGATCTTTTTGATTTTGATATTAATTGACGGGGAATTGAGGTTTCTATTGATTGAAATCAAAAGCAAAAAGATTGAAGTGAAATTGGGAAAGATATGACATTTTCTATTGACATTCACATCGAGAATTCCCAAATCTAGTTGTGTAAAGTCCTTGATAGTCACAAGATCAGATAGTATTCAACTTAAAGCTTCAAATTGTATACAGTGCGTTTCAAATTCTTAAACGCACCCTCTAAAATTGCGAATTTTGCATTTTGACCACCTCTACAACTATTGATCTTTTTCTATTAGAAAGAGCATGTCTTAAAACCTAAAAAACACGAAAAAGAAGCATACTGTAAAAAGTAAAAATTTTCAAAATAGAAACTTTTTGCTAAATCGACCGTTTCAAATTCTTAAACGCACTATGAAAATATTTTTATTTATCGACACAAATTAAAAACCAAAGGTAAAAAATCCAAACTAATAATCTGTACAGGCACCAGAACGATTAATTACTTGAAAAATGCGGTCTGGCATTGAATTGATGAGGTTTTGAAGAGCAGAGACGTCGAGATTGCGCCAGGCCGAAAAAATTGCTGCTTTAAGGGTAGAAACGTCTTGAAACTGACGATGATTCTTGTAGACATCTCGGGCAAGTATTCCCCATAAATTTTCTATCGGATTGAGGTCAGGAGACTGAGCGGGCCAGTCCAAAGTTGCAATGTTGTTGTTTTTCAGCCAGTCTCGGGTATCTCCGGCTCGATGAACTGACGCGTTGTCGTGTTGAAACACATCGGGAATGCCTGGATGTAGGTGCCAAAAAGGCAGCAAGCAATCGTCCAAGACGTCTATATAGTCAAAACGATTCATACGATTCGAAACCATCTTCAGAGCGACCGTTCCATCAGCACAAAATGCGGCCCAAACCATCACAGAACCACTGCCAAAGTTTCGAGTCCCAAACACCATCGGATCACGTCGAAGATCCCTCCAATAATAGCCAACGCCATCGGGGCCATCCAAATTCCATTTCTTCTCATCGGAAAAGATCACCTAAATGCAAAAAAATAATAAAACATAATCGGCTTTCTAACCATAGATCAATCCTGATTCATATGAGCCTTGGCGAACGCCAATCGGGCTTCCTTGTGCAAAAGCGTCACAGCCGGTTGCTTGTTCAACAAGTGTCGATCGATATGTGGATTTTCCGTGACGGCTCGCCAAATTGTCGACTTCGAAGCGTCGATTTTCAGTTCCGTTTTCACTTCATTGATCGTTTTTCCGTGGATGTTGTTCACAATATGACGTCTAGCTCGCGGTGTAAGCTTTGGTTTTGGTCTTGGCTTCTTCTTTGGTGCAGAAACGAACTCGGACTTTATATAATTTCGTACGGCAGAGTCGGATCGGCCCAAATTTTTTGCGATTTTCCTTAGTGAGTCGCCAATCCTCAAACGGGCATCAATCTGGCCTTTCTCATAATCCGTGAGCAGCTTTCCGTGTGCCATTTACCTGGAAATTAACAAAAATTATAAATTTAATAAAAAAATATGCACAAGAAAACGAAAAATTTCAAATAACAACAGCAAAGGTGGGTGCGTTTAAGAATTTGAAACGGTCGATTTAGCAAAAAGTTTCTATTTTGAAAATTTTTACTTTTTACAGTATGCTTCTTTTTCGTGTTTTTTAGGTTTTAAGACATGCTCTTTCTAATAGAAAAAGATTAATAGTTGTAGAGGTGGTCAAAATGCAAAATTCGCAATTTTAGAGGGTGCGTTTAAGAATTTGAAACGCACTGT